AATGGAAGACTTTGACTACCCAGCCATGCAATAGTCTCATTCCGTGCCTTATGGCAACTTGATGATTCTATTGCGCTCATCTTCTGGCACCACCCAGGGGAGACTTGGTCCTGTACCCAATGCTTAACTTATCTCCATTCCACTCAACTACTCGCAATTTCGTGTGATATAGTGGGCGGAATATTATTATATGAGACAATTCAATGCAGACGTCTTTCCAAATTTGGCAGATCGACAGGTAATCGGTGAGTTAGCACGATAGTTGCTATTCAACAACTCGACAACGTCCCATCGTCAACGCCTGCTATGAGAATTTCCCATAGCAGACGCCAACGAAATGACGTCATCGAGCTATCGATCAACTACCCTGGTTATCGCCTGGTACCTTATAGCACGATGCTAGGAGGCGAACCGGAAAAATCGATGAGCTACCTCCCCCTCTTCGATCTCTATACAGGCCTTAAGGAACAAAACTACAATTTTTACGACATTCTGAGAACCACTATATCGTTTTGCTATGAATGGCTGTATATATTATATACAGCCATTCATAGGAAAACGATATAGTGGTTCTCAGAAAGTTGTTAAAATGTGTAGTTTTGTTCCTTATCGCAAAATAAGGATCCATTTCCATGTTAGGGTGCTCCAAAAAATCGTTTTTTTTTTAATTCATAACCTTGAACCACTTTTCCCAGTGATTTCAAAGATCAAAATATCAAATGAAAGGTAATTACAAATAGAATTTAAAAATATAATGATATAAAAAAAATTGGATTTGTATTGAGAAAAATAGTATTTTTTAGTTTTCATGGTTTATATACAGAGGGCGCAATATGTTTTTTTTTATCATTTCCTGGAAAAATTAGGCTTTTTTACACAAAATATATAAAAATCAGCGATGTGTTTGTGTTTTTTGAGTTATGTTTTTTTAAGGTAAATTTTTTTTGGGTTTTCGCTCAACACTCCTATGCGACTAGACTACCATGCACTCAATTAATTTAAAGCGACTGTAACATGGTCACATTATCTATACTTATTTATTTCTTTTTTTTCTTTTTTGAGTTATATTTTTTTTAAGTTATCAAGTTTGGGTTAATTACCTTTCATTTGATATGTTTATCTTTGAAAACGGCTTAGTGGTTCAAAAGTTATGAATTTTTGAAAAATGTCATGTTTCAGAACAAATATGAATTATTGCCCATGACAAACAACTCAAGTAACCAAAAAGCCCGCTAATTCACCTTTAGGCAATGCGGCTAACATAACGCTTTGCATGCCTTTTGTTAGTCGTGTATCAGCCTTGGTTACATGGGACTTATACAATGTTTCATGCAAATCGGAGTACCGTTCCGATTCAAATTTCGGACACTTTCATTTTTAATTAAATATTACATCCAGTTAGAAACAAATTAATAATGTTAGATGATCGTGGAGGGCACTAGTCAAAAAAAATTTAAATTTACAAGACATGTGGATCATATTCGACCGAGATAATCAACTTTTAAAAGTGTCCGAAATTCGAGTTTAAGTGTCCGAAATTTGAATGGTAGGTCGAATCAAAAATTCATTTTTTTAGATTTTTTTTTTTTTTTTCGAGAGTTGACCAACTGCAGTCTTAATAGGCTAGAATCTCGGTTGGGCTCTCCATGCGATACACAATACTTTCAGACGACTCGAGCTATGGTGCTCACTAGGTCACTGCAGCTTTTAGGCTCGTATTGTGATCAACTGTGTGTATTAGATTACGACCATAAATCCGAAGAACCCCGAGATCTGGGCGCAATCGCCCCTGCAAACAAACACGTCAATCGTCGGCCACCCGCGAACAAAAGAACAATCCTGCAAACAAACTATAACAAATCATAGAGGAACTATTCTTCTACCTGTTTGTGTTATTAGTTTTTCCAGACTGAGGCCCAATCCACGAGAAACCGACAAATGACGTGCCTATCTACAAAAGCAACTACGCTCCAACCTCGAAGCTCTCCGGAAATATGTGATAAATCATGTAAATGTAAATGTAAATGGAATACAGTAATGTCCCGATTTTGTCAACCCCCTTTTTTTAAAATGTTTTCCAATGTTCTACAAAACCCATGCCCTTTTTCAGTAATCTTCTTGAACCTATTGCACCAAAGTATACTTTAAATATCTCTCTTAACGAATGACGAATGAGAAAAATTTAGATTTATGATTATGTGAAATTATTGAAAGAAAAAAATCTGAAGCGCGGAGGGGCTGACAAAATCGGGTCATTACTGTATTTAAAATAAATAAATTCATTCTTACCTTTTTATGATTGTTTGATTATTAATTGCTATTATTACCTGCTTAGAGTTGGCTCCTTTAAAATACTGTGAAGAATTTACCTCATTATTCCTCAGTTCTATCGATTTGTGATAGAACCACGCTCAGCATATTATCAACAATCAATACGAAACTAACGATTTTAAATTGGCTCACCACTTTAGTAGCCTATTGGTCCCAAGCAAACGATTAACGTACCCTATTCTAGTTGAAATTCTATTACTACACTATGTTTGTTTTGATTCGCTATGAAAGTTTGACAGATAACATCAGGGGTGTGTGGATTCATGCAGAACATACAGGGGTGAGTGAAATAGCTTGGGACTGCTTGGGACCGTTGTTCTGGTACTGAGTGAGCCAAAAATAATAATGATTTTCTTCGGGACCCAGTAGTCTTAGAGTTACCTCTATGGTATTAGTCGATTTGCTTGGGACCAATAGGCTAGTCAAGTAGTGAGCCAATTTAAAATCATTAGATTCGTATTGATTGTTGGTACTATGGATTGGAATGCGAGATAAACTCCCTTGTATCACATGTTTTCCATATCCGTCTCGAGTCCTGTTCTGCACGTATTCACTTTTTCCTCTGTGTTTATATTTTCCACAATAAAGATGCAATGGTATCAAGGAATACTGTAGGATGTTTTTTCATATGAAATCAATAATACATTTTATTCAAACCGAAATTTAAATTATTGAGAATCACCATGAATTCCATCGAAGGAATCACGTAACTTTACGTGATAATCTCGTGACAATCTCGCTCAGTGAAGTGAGTGCTTTCCGAGTACTAACGAAGAAGTAGCCAGTTTCTTGCTTGGACCAAAATGCATCATGCAACCAAAAACAATATAAATTATAGCCAAAACGAGTACCTTGGACCACATTGACCGGCTATGTTCCCGGTTCCCCCGAGGATGTCGCCAGTTCCTGACTAGGGCAAAAACCCATCATCCGCCACATCAGATTACATCAGAATTCAGAAACAAGATCCTTATTGAAATGGGACATATTGAGTGTCCCAGACTACATTGCTCACATCCGGATCCACCACCGAGGGAGCAGCCAGTTTGAAACTAGAGTCAACACATATCATGCAATACATAAAATTTCATGAGAACTCTAAACCAAGCAATGGCTGGTTACAGGAAGAATCCAGTGCCACATTGGCAACATTAGTTTTGTTTATGTTTGCGTTATGCCAAATGAGGTAGAGCACCATGGCTAATTATGAGAGCACTAGTGTCATAACTGGTACGTTTACCATATATCCAACTTGTATGCTCCAAATGTTTGCTCTTTTAAACATGAGCTGTTATTTCATACCTTTATGCCAAATGGCCATTATGTCAACCGGCAGTTATGCCAAATGGTTATTATACGAAACAACGTTATGCCAAACGGGGTAGAGCCGAGATTTCTTCTACGGGAAGACAGTTAAATTACACTCAAAATAATTGTCACGTCAAAGTTACGTGAAAAATCACGTAGATCTAAAAAAGTATTGTTTGTTGTAAGGCTACCTGACACAAGTAGAATTTAGTTGTTAGCATCTGATTTTTATCTTAAACACATTTCACATCCACCTTATTAACCGATAACATTTACGTGAAAATCACGTACGTTGGGAACATCATCCTGCCGATACTGACAGTTCTATTTTCACGTAAATAATCAACATGGTCACGGTACAAAACGCACTGCAAGAGCTGTTAAGTGGTTTAGAGATCTCCGGTCATTTGTTGCAGATTTTGGACGGTACATTACTTCTTCCGTGTCAAAAATAGTTTTAATACAGATAATTCTAACCCACTGTGAAATAGTCAATTAGTATTCATTGTCATTATAATAATAAACATTGGACAAATTAACGGCTTTTTTAATCCTGATTCTGTTCAGTTCAATAATTGCGTAAAATTCATATATCATTTAATGCTTGAATTAATTGCTATGTAAAAATCAATACAATTACAACAACATTTACTTTACTTTAAATCACTGCAATTCTTATAAAGAAAACCAAATTCATCAAAAATGTTATTACTTTTGATTAGATTTTAACATAAATTGTATCACAATTACATTGAAAATTTACTGAAAGATTTCGTAGATAATACTAAAGAATAACGGAATATTTACGTGAAACTCCACTGGAAAGGGTGGGAATGGATACGTTCTTCGCTACATGAAAATCGCGTAAGTGTTACGTGAAAAGTGCGATGGAAAAAATCCACATATGTTTTTACGTAGCTTTGACGTGACAATTATTTTGAGTGTACGATCGATGTAAAACAAATTATGTGGGGTATTCAAAGACCATTTTAAAAGGGGCATGTCAGACCGAAGTAAAGTAGCTACAATTAGTGCCACACCCTACATTCTAAGCATAAACCATTGCAGCACAGTGTGTTCTTCAGACTGCATTAAATATATAGGTACCGCAACTTACTAGCTCGCTTCTCAATGGTCAATTATTTCATTACTACTTTCACGTACTGGTTATAAAAAAAACATTGACACCAAAGTTAAAACATATTTGTTAAACACCTACCGATGTTTTACAAACAATGAAGCTTATAAAACCTTCGTTAAGACTACGCTTCAGGCCAGTCGTTCTTCGTTGGGTGGTGTATCTTTGTTCTTTGTGTCGGAATTATTTAGATCCAAGAAAGTAGCACTCGCACGCAGTGATCAATTGGATCAAAGATTCGCTCTCCAGTGAAGTGGTTTGTTGTACCATGTTGTTTCGCATACTGTTTGGAAGCCTGCTGGCTGCGTTTTGCCTTGCCGAAATCAAACACTGTGATAACCCGGACAAAATCTATCGCATCAATGGAAACTCAATCGATTTCCCGTGCGAATCGACGAAAAACATTTTCATCACCACCGATCGATACAAACCGTGCAGTATCATTCCGATGCGCTTCCAGATCGATAGTGACCGCGATCGGTGTATCGTGGTGTTGACTCGATTGCGAAGCGGTAATCCGGTTACGTTGGGAGTTATCGATTTGAAGCGTTCAAGTTGCTATGCGCACATCGCACCGTACCCGTGCTGGTCGTACCAGGAGGAAGGCAACTGCAATGCACTTCAGTCGGTGGTCGATGTCTACATTGATGCGAAGGTAAGTCAGACAATTATGCACATGCGGCGTGCTACTTAGGCATAGACGAGAATAGTGTTGCAATCAGGGGTTGAAACGGGTGACATTTTTTACTACACTCGCTTCGTTTTAGTGCACACGACAGTCAGCTTTTATTCGAACACTCATGCTCTACCGTCGTCTCTTGCAAACAACACGAACGGTAGAACAACATTCGAGCAAAAAAAAATTATCAAATAACTATTATTAAACGATGTGTGATTTCGTTCTAATTCCTCAATTTTGTGTAAATTAAACCATTTCTGATCAGAAATGTTATTACTAAGACACCGTTGCTTGCTTTTTTTCAGAATTCACACTAGCACAACATTAGCAGCTCTTATTATGTGAAAAACCAAAATGCCTAAATACGTGACGGTCCTCGGCGACAGTGTCGTATGGCAGAGACTGTCATATGACATCTTAGTTTGATACTGTACTTTGATAGCTTGTTTTCGGAAGCAAAGGCAGCCGATTATCACAGAAAATGCGTCGACTATGGGGACCGCTTACAGCACTGGTTGCAATGTGCTCAAATTAACCTGCTGGTAATGGGTAGGTAGATTGATTCGGAGAGTTTTCTACAGCTGTTTGATGGACTCTAGGGTTCTATATATGAGTTATGGGGAAGCTTCCCTTGCAAATAATATATGACGTGTTATTGCGTCTTTGTAGAATATACTGGGTGCAAATAAAAGAAAATGTGTCGCGAAATAATTTTAGGTTTTAAAAGCTCATACCATGGCCATTTACGGATGGATTTAAATTCTTTTCATACCATTTTATTCAGATTTGATGTAAGATTCGTTTTGTATAAAGATTATAGTAATGTATCATTATTAAACTATTGAAAATGGATTACACTTTTGGCCGCAATGACTATGACTATCGAGACAACAGCGAGAGACGAGTCGATAGTGAGGTTATAAATTAGTTTTTTTGTCATAAAGTCGATAAATTTTCCATCTCGATTTCCAACATGGTTTGCGTTGTAATATTGTGTGTGGCGTAGCTAGATATTTGCGTTGATTCTGTGACACTACCCCGAATGTCACTACCCCGAACGCCATAACCCCGAACGCCGTTACCCCGAATGCCACTACCCCGAATGGCCATTACCTCGAATACCCTACTACCCCGAATGACCATAACCCCGAAATTAAGACAAACGGAAGAACAGCATGTGATCAAAAGTAGGGTAAATTTTTAAGAAGAAAATTTTCTTTTGTAGTTTAGACTGAATACGAATGATAAAAATAACAATTTAAAATTGATTTATGTAAATCAGTGATGCAAAAGTTCACTATGATTCGTGAGCTTTTTCCTAGGTGAACTTCGTGAAAATTCGCGAACCCTTCCAATGCTATATTTTGTATTTTTCACAATGACACTCTCTAAATTCTTATAAAATAAATTATTAGATTCTATAACATTCCCCAGAAAAGCATACGTCAGAATGTACCATTCCCCAGAAAAGATGATGAAATTAGTAATTTATCACTTTTTTTGTTGGTCATTTGATATGATATTTCAGTTTTTTATTACAGAACAGGCGTCCATAAATAAACAGGTCCGCAAGTATCTTGCACACTGAATAATACATCTTCTGAATACCAATTTTCTCGATAAATTTTACACAAATGATTTAATATATTTTTCATGACAAAACTCTCTGATTAGTTTACTATTGATGATACACTACGTTTACTTTTATGGAACTATGTATTTATCAATTCCAAACCATTTTATAGCTCTTTAGAAAATGACAACCTTCAAGTTTTCGAGCACTTCGTTCATCATTTAAAAAGTCAAAGGGTCTATTATGCAATCCAATTCAACCAGTCGGAAACTGTTAAACCTTATCGAAGAATTGTTCGGCCTCAGTTGAAGAATTTCTCGTGATGGATTAAAAAATCGGTGCATGGAACGTTAAACTACCGATTACAAATTTATAACATTATTCCACACGTTATTATCCCAAATGGGCATTACCCCGAATCACTTGCGAAAAACTATTAATTATATATATTCATTATATATTAAAAGAAGGGAATATTCCCTTCTTTTTCGTATATCCAAAGAATTAATTATTTCCTTTTGTTATATTTTCAAAGAAGGGAATATTCCCTTCTTTATCATATATTTAACGAATTAATTATTTTCTCTTTAATATATTAAAGAAGGGAATATTCCCTTCTTTATCGTTTATTCAAAGAATTCTCGCGTAACACGAGAAAAAGGCCTATCATTGTTCATCGATTCTCTTCATCGATTTTCTCTTTCGCGAATAACCCGACTGCAAATTAATTTTCCATTGAGTGTGTTATTTCAGGCGCAAGCTAACATCATCTTCTGTCGAACTGTGCTGCGAGCTTAGCGAGAAATTCGTTTCCGTGGTAAACCAAAGAGAAAGTCGATGAAGAGAATCGATCAACGAGGGTTGGCCCTTTTCAAATGTTACGCGAGAATTATTTATTTCCTTTTGATATATTTTCAAAGAAGGGAATATTCCCTTCTTTATCATATATTTAACGAATTAATGATGTTCTCTTTTATATATTCAAAGAAGGGAATATTCCCTTCTTTATCGTATATCAAAAGAATTTATTATTTACAGCTTTTGGAAATGACTTCGGGGTAGTGGCCATTCGGGGTAATGGTCATTCGGGGTAGTGTACTATGCGGGGTAACGGCGTTCGGGGTAGTGTACCGTTCGGGGTAACGGCGTTCGGGGTAGTGACATTCGGGGTAGTGTCACAGAATCATTTGCGTTAGTTAGTGCAATCGTTAGAGTAGACAAATCAAGCTCTGGACAGGCCTGAACCTCCGCTTCCTACTGCCAATATGTATGATTAATTAAGTTGTGTGTGTGTGTGTGTGTGTGTGTGTGTGTGTGTGTGTGTGTGTGTGTGTGTGTGTGTGTGTGTGTGTGTGTGTGTGTGTGTGTGTGTATGTGTGTGTGTGTGTGTGTGAGTACAATCCATCGCCCTCTGTACCGGCAGAGTTTTTATGGAAGAAACTTATCTGCATTTTCTGTATGTCGAAGGTGCAAATATTTTTAGCCCTGGAGATGGAAGGTGACAGCTCTATCGTACATCAAACGACCAATTTCAAGAATGCCTGTTTCTGCACGTACATTCTGAGGTCATTTTCTGATACAATAAGCCCCGCAAAAATACACAAGTGTATTCTCACTTCCAGAATAAAAAAAAACTTTTTATTCTGGCACGTATTTAGTTATAAAATGATTGGGATATATGTGTAGAATAAAATAAAAAGCAAGTGTACTTATCTGGTTGTTCCAATGTGATGAGTGAGTCTCCATCGTACCTTGATGTTCACGTCTCCTTTCCCGTTTCCTTGTTTCTTGTGCTACGTTGTTTTTTGAATTGTTGAATTGTATCCGGAGCGACTTCGCTTTGTTGTGATACATCCTTCAACGAAAACAAATTTTATTGTATTCCCCTGCTTTTCTGGGAGGACATTCGCGTCCCATGTCACTGGTCATCTTTAGGTCACCCAGCACTTGGAATGTGCACTCCGTCGGTGTTATATGCAAATTGCAAAAGAAAGAAAGAAAGAAATACATACAACCGGGATTAGTTTCAAGAAGTGATTATTTTCATCGGATTCCCCAACTAACCATATTATCGCAAAGTGAGTATATACAAAGCTTTATTGCGACTATATGGTTACTTGGGTACCCATAGGCCATCAGAATGGTTCATCGGTTGCAAATTCAGGCATTTTTTTTAAATTATGCGTTATGTTTCTCAATGTTTTGACTGTATCCTATTTTAGTTCAAAATTATACCTTCACTACCCAAACAGCATTGTACACCTTATGAAAGTTTCAAAACCTTCTTTAAGTTTAAATACTGGTGTAAACAACTCTTACAAAGTCAAAGTTGCTGCTTGGGTGTTGCAACTACGGGTAATCATTGAAAGTACTTGCATTTTGCTCAGGCACTTTTGAGCAAACTGTAACCACCTTCTCATACTCGAAATGTGCCTCGACCAATCTGGCACAACGATGCCCTATACGCTCTCTGACCAAAGCGCAGGGATATGTATGATTAATTAAGTTACACATTAATTCAGGTCTTCGAGAATAACCGTAAAATAAAATAATTGCCGATGGAAATACAGCTAACGTAACTGGTTGTTAATCACGTCCAAATAACATAAACGCTCAAAATCACACACTGTCGACCCAGCAGCGGACCTCGTAGGATTAGGCACACTTTTTTTAATTCGATGTCCTCCTAAATAGTTGTAACAACCGAAATGTATTTTTTGTTTTTTTTTTTCAAACAGAAAAAAATAATGTGGGCACTGGACTCCGGAATATGTAACTCTTTGGAGCAGCCCATCAAACGCTGCTCACCGAAAGTGGTAGCATTTGACCTGGAAAACGACAAAACCGTCAAAACTGTCGACCTGAGTGACATCCTGAAGCCAACCTCCAGACCACAGTACCTCGTCGTGGATTACTCGAAGCATGGATTCCCTTATTGCTACATCAGTGACCCCGAAGGAGTCATCGTCGTTGTGGACATCCAAAATGCCAAGATGTCCCGACTAATGATGCCCCGTGCCATTTCTGCTGGCTGTGGGAACTCTGATGTTCTCTACATGGTGCTGGTGCATAGACCAAACAACAACAACATGGTTGTTTTCTCCTACCTATGTGGTCAGAAGGTGTACGGAATCAAATCGGAATATCTGCAGACGGGACGCGGCGCTAATGCTATTGTGGAACTTGGCAGTAAATCCAAGCATTCTGTCCTACTCGGCACGGATGGCGGTAACAACGTGATCCTTCGTTACCGGAGTGAGAGCGAACTATACAAGTGGAACACTGATCAACCTTACAGAGAGTGCAACTTTGAGTTGGTTCAACTCGCGGAAGAATGCAGATTAAGCACGCATGTGAGTAACCTATTTCAGTGTTGGTAGGAAATGCCAACAAGTTTAACTAATAATCATATATAAGAAAAAAGAAGAAGTTTGCAATGTAACTTAACTATTGTTTTCTTGATTTCAGGTTGCCCCAAGCGGAAGAGACGACCTGATGTACTCGCTATCGTCGAACGTAGCCGACTATCTAAATCACACATGTGGCGCGGGTGGTGCTTCAGCTCGACTCAAATACATCAGTAAGGAATTTGAAGATGATTGTTACTAAGGTAGCAAAATTTAATTAATAATGCCAATAAAATTTAGCATATAGATCACATTTCCCAGACTAACGATAAAGCAAACATTCAAACATAAAAAAAAAACCTTATATTCTGTTAAGCTAGTAGAATTCGTTCAATAAAACTATAGGGTATATTATAATGCTACTTCCACAACTAACACAAGTGTCTAAATTTGCTTCATTTTGGTAACTTCCTCGATGAACCGCTCCTTCTGCACTTCACCCTTGTAGAGCCCAATCATTTTGTTGACATACTCCTGCTGATAGCGAACTATGAACTTCTGACACTGTTTTAGTGTGGCTCCCACGTAAAGCGTTCGATAGCGAACAGTTTCCGTATCTGCCTGAAAGCGAAAAAAATCCTTCTTAAAAAAAAACCCACCCATAGTTTAGGAACAGAACAAACTTACCACAGTGAGCAAGGGCAGAATGCTGGTCACAAACCGATGTGGCCCATGTCGGGTTTGGATGATGCAGAGTCGGGTCTTCTCGTTGAAATATATTACATTTAGCCGAAGAGTGCTGGCAAGGCCGTATTCTCCGTAGTACTTTTCGATTTTTTCCCGTAGAAAACCGCTCAAATGAGTGGAGGTAAGTGCGAACGCATCCGTATCGGATCGGTTGTTGCACATGAACTGAACCAGAATATATCTGTAATATGGAGAATGTGTGGAAGAGTAGTAAATTTTACATTTCGTATGCATTCCTAAAAATGTAACAGTAGTATCCTATTCTTAGTCTAGTCTACACATACACAGCCAGTACTTGAAAGAATCCTGGAAAATGATACATCTATCATTTTTCTTGTCATTATTAATGCCTGCTGCACATCAAGGATGTGAAACAAACAATAAAGCGGCCAGGCCTACTGTGTAGCGTTTAGTTAATTTTTGTGGAAGTGAATGTTTACCATGTCTACTTAATAAGTATAGACAGTGGTTAACATTTAATCCACAGGTAATCAAAGAGCGGGGACATACCGTACCAACCGCTCCGTATGCAGGATTTGAAAATAGGCTATATAAATCGTTGGGAGTGACAGAGCTAAGAAAGTTAATGTACACTCCTTGGTTGTCCGATCTCCTGGGATGGAACACAGGTATTTACCCCTTGTGTTCGAGCGTACAGTCCTCCCTCCGTACAAGCGTGGACGGCACCGCCAACCCACTGCCATCCCTCAATCGATCCAGCCGACCTCAGTCGAAGGACAACAGAGAGCGGTGTGCGGACGTAACCTATACGGAGGGAATGCTGTATTCGCCTAGGTTATAGCGCCCTTGCTCGCTACCGTTTTCTTCTAGCGGTTGGGACCTGAGCACTAACTCTTGTCCTAGCCCTATATGGCATATGGTTATAGCGCCATTACTCGCTTTCTGAAAAGAGAAGAAGGGAAGGGAAGGAGAGGAAAAGGACTTGGGAAAAGGAAATGCGGAATTCCTTTCCTCATTAGTATTTGTATCGTCAACTTTTATGAAAATATATATAAATCATTTTTCCTTGGTCAGAGGTATTATTACGACATTTGAATAAGATTGTCTTATCATTTGTTATTCAAAATTTAATGTTATAATGATCAACATAGCTTTGAATTATCTAATATAAATTCGGTAACACTGTCCTGCAACCGATGATTTTTCTAATCCGAAAACTAAAAGTTACGAAAAAGCACTCAGGCCTTCATTAAGTTCCACTTTCACGCGACGTTCAATGTTTCGCGGTTTGCTCTTTACGCATTGTTCAGGCTATCATAACAAGCTATGACCAACGTGACGATTGCTTAAGCCCTGGTTAAACAAGTAAACAAGTTATTAAAATGAAATCATGTTCCCGAAAGCAGTCAACAATGTATCTTAAACCGGATCAAGCGTGCGCCCTATTTTTCTAAACATTCCGACGCGGTCCGCCCAATATCTATCAATTACGTTTTTCTACAATAGTAGCCTGGGATAAATCCTAATTCGACCGACACGTGTTTGTTGAAACATTATATTCTGCCTAATATCAGTAGTCAGTAGTCATTAGGAAACCTGTTACTATATTACCACATATGTATCCTTCTTTCATGAATTTGTCCACTGACTGGCAGTGGCATTATGGATAAAATCCTCCTGGAACCATCTTTTATATAAATAATTTCAAGAAGCTTAAATCCGGGAGTGACAGCTCTATCACAACTCCTAAAGCCCATTTCAAGAACGCAAGCATTCCGAAGCTTTTTTCGTATATGATAAGCCCCGCTCCAATACATTTCAATGTAGGAATCATTAATAATGTACTGGGACTTTCAACCAAGCGGTATTGCTTGATTGACGCGTATTTAATGAGTTGGAAATGTTTGTAGTATCACTAGTACTAGTACTCGGAAATTAAGTATGAAAATATTGTAAAGGACAAAATGGAACGAACTCACCAAATCTGGCCAAGTGAACCTAACAAGCTGGCATGATGTGTTAGAGGGGAAGTCGCAATTGTAGACGGTTCGCTTCACAGGGTAATCCGGTTTGTGGTAAAGCTTGCACGGAATGTATAGTCTTGAAATACGTCTTGGCCGTCTGATACAATCCACATATGTTAGAAAAAAATCCGGAGCAACGCAAAATCCATAAATTTAACGGGATGAAATTTCTTCGCTTCCATCTACAAGCACAACACTCTTCTATCTCCCACCGGTTTGTCCACTCGTGGTTGTCTAATAATCCGTTCGTTTCTATTTGTTGTAACAACCGAGCACTTACACACGAAATTATTGATTAAGTTTCAGTTGACGGAGTTTTTCAATTCTCTTACTAAATTTTCACTAAACACTCAGTAAAATTCGCGAAAAATAAAGCAGCAGCATAAACAAAACACCTGTAACAGTAGTATCCTATTCTTAGCCTAAAAGTAAAATGGCTCTCTATCTCCTTATTATGCTACCTTTCTACATTGACCGGCAAAATTAATCTTGTCTTCGTCCGTGTTAAGAAACACTTTCCTGTGATAAAAGCTTCATTCCGAGATTAGTTTCCAATTTAAAGTATATTTTGTTTTGGGTGAGCACTTCCACCATCCCCCGTCATGGTAAATGGTATTCTCAAGTGTCGGAACCAAACACGCAACAGGACACACAGCCATAATGGAAGCATTCACGCTTTTCGAAAATGAAGCAATACATACATTATTTATGATACCAACTGCGATCTAAATATTTTTGATTATTCATGTAACAAGGCTGGTAGCAATCGCTGCTGTCAAAAATAGTGATTTTAGTGACCTTGTTGAAGAAATAAGTGACCAAATAGTGACTTATAATTATAAAAATAGTGACTAAAAAGTGACCTAAGAGAATTTTAATTTTTATTTAGAAAGTTTATGGTCAAACCCACGGTATTAGTCAGGGTGTCTACTATTACTTCAAAAACCTGGAAAACCGGGTATCCTAAGTCTCAGAGAATTGAATAATTTTCTTGCTAAGGATATTTAAAAAAAATAATTAGTTTTAAAATACAAGCATTTAAATTTTTTCGATATTTTTATTAACACTTTGAACTTTATAGACCGTGGATTAATCTTCAGTAACAAATAAATTTAAAAAAAATCAGAGGCTTGCAATGTTACTTTTTTTTTTTGGTTTTGGAACATGCATATTTTCTACAAATTTTAAATTTGAACTAGTTCTTGTCTTAAAAGCTATAAATAATACTTCAAGAAATGTTCAAGAATCTGGAGTCAAATTTCATGCACAGTTTTAGAGGCTCGTGGAATTTTGTTATAATTTCCAAGGACATCATTCCAAGGGAATTCTGGGAAAAAATCTTTCAGAAAACATCAAATGCTATCTGCTTTCAAGGTAGTTCTGATGAATTTTCGATTTCCTTTGAAGCCTGATAGTTTTGAGAAGCATTTAAAGAAACTCTAAATTGAATTAAAAGTAATTTTTTTATGAAAACTCTTAAGAATTTCTGAGGAGCACAACTCCTGTAAACTTCAAATGAAAATTACAAGGGGGTTCTGAAGATAATTTCATAAAGTTTGTTGGAGAAAACAAATCTGGAGCATAAGTACATGGAATTTTTTGAAAATGCTAAAACGAGGATTACAATTAAATCTAAGAACAACAAAAAAACATCTTCAAAGGAATTTGGAAAATAAATTAAGGAGAATTTGCAAACAAATTATGAGTAGAAATCTAAGGAATTTGTGAGGAAAAATGCCAATGAATTCATAGGAGACTTTCAATGTGAGTAGAATTCCAAGGGAAGGAATGAGATTCAAAAGGAAATCTGAAATGAATTCAATGAATATTCGAAGAATCTTTCCAAAGGGTTTCGTATTGTGGAGAATTTCTAGGTAATTCCGAGGAATCTAAAAGAAAATTAAATTCGAAGGATAGTTTCAATTAAAATCTCCGTTGAATATGGAATGGACTATTCTGAGGTCTTCAGAACTACTTGAAAATTCCCAATTTTTTCCTTGAAGTTCTTTTGTAGTTTGAGAAACTAACCTGGTGCTTACAATACTGCTCATCAAATTCTTAAACTTCCCTGAACTTTATAGGGCTTCCTAAATTTTCCTGAATTTTTCTAACGACCAAGGATCTCCTCTAAAGGTTTAACAATACGCTGATGTTTTCGAAACTTCTTTAAAATTTATGTGACTGCTCTAATGTTAACGGAACTGCTCTGATGTTAACGGAACTGCTCTGAGGTTTTCTGAAATTCTCAAAACTTCTCTAAAGTTTTTTTTTTCTGTTCTCATGAAGCTTGTTGAACTGTTGTAAAAATGTTTAAGCTTCCGTGAACTTCTGAACTTACTGCGAAGACCTCAATTAAGTTCTCTGTAATTCTTCAAAGTTGCTGAAAATTTTCGGATGCTAAAAGATCCGGTTTGAGGTTTTTAAAGCTTCCAGTAAGTTCCCCACATTTTCAAGGTTTTAACTTACCTTATGTTCCCGCAGTTTGTAGGACGGGGACATGGGCACTTAATTCTGGCACTTTGAAAATGTTCAATATCTTGAACTTGTACATGGAATACGAAACTTCAAGATATTGAAACTTCAAGATATTGAATAAGTTTTTTTAACTTTATTAAAGTGAGAAATTATGTAAGTTTTAAACTTCAAAATTCAATGGATTTCATTGTAAAGCTGTTTCTTTAAAACTGATTATATGTCTTTAAAACGTTTGGGTTAATCGCTGTTGTTTTTGATCTACCAAAAAAGGCATATTTTTAACGCATTTAAAAAAAAATGCTTTCTTATTATAAGCCTGGAATTTATCCGTTAAATTTCTGGGAAAACCTGGAAAACTCAGATAATTTTATTTATAAAAATAAGTAGACACCCTGTAGTTAGAAAAAGACAATTAAACGTCACAAAACTTCTTCGAATTGTTCGAAAATTAGAACAAAATGTAGGCATCGATTGGACTATCAGATCCTACACAGTGCAGTGCAAGAAGAATGATCATTCTTGAAATAAATTCACGCTAAAAAAGTTGAAAATAGTGACTGATTACAAGAAAAAGTGACTTTAGTGACTTGATCTTAAAAAAAGAGACTTTTTAGTGACTGGCTTGAAAAAAGTGACCAAGTCACTAAAAAGTGACTCGCTACAATCGCAACAATTGAAAAGTACACTTTTTGTCGTTTTCCCTAAAGTAGGGGAATTTACGTATTCTCGGCAACCTAAGCAGCGACCTTCTTTCTATAGTCTTTTTATCTATGGAACGCACACATGTGCAGTATTGGTTTGTTTACAATCTTTTGCTGCCAGCTGCTCTAACAATTTCAGTCGAAAGAATTGTCAAAAACTGTTTTGAAACGCTTTTACAAAGCTCCAATCTTCTCTAGTGAGAGCGAGTATTGTCGGCAACCAGTTTTTCTTCGGCAACCGTTCCATTTGAACTGCATGTAAATCTGCTGTTCTATTATCGGCAACTCGAAATCAGCTACAAATTGTAGTGCGTGCGTTTCATTTCAAGAAAACCCTGCTAGATTGCTTTTTCTCAGTGGTAAAAATATAGTCAAATTGAAGCTGAAAGCATGAAGAATTGTTTGCATGCATTCAGCGAAGTGTTTTCGTAAGAAAATCCAGTTAAAATAGTGTTTCAATTTGGGTTGCCGAAAATAGTCTGTCATGCCGAAGCCGTCATTTCCCCTATTTGGAATAGAAATAGAATGTACATTATTCAAACTAACTAGTATCGTCCATCATGAAGTTCATTTTCAGCTGTGGAAAGTAGCAGTTGATCTTTCTGTGTCGATAGTGCAACCGACAGTTGGTTTACTCGATCAGGGCATTGCATTTTTTTTTCCTTGATTTGTTTTCCGTCGATCTTGTTTTCCGTGCTGAGCACCAATGCTACCGACGCCAGGGAGGCAACTCCCACACCTGGACTCTACCTAAGGACCCATCAACTCATGAACCGGGGACCAACGGCTTTACTTCCCTTCCGAAGGAAGGCGTGATCAGAGATGTTATGCCTCAGAACATCCCGGCGGCGCCGACTGGGATTGAACCAAGGCCTGCTGGGGTGAGAGGCAATCATGCTTACCACTACACCACCGGCGCCGCTAGGGCCTTGCATTGTTGAAGCAAAAATTGAGTGGCGACATTGAAGTGAAAAACACCATCAAACTTAGCTTTGAAAATGGTGCTGGGTGAAAATGTTAATTTCGTTAAGCCACTGGACGTAGATCCTGTTCATATGGAAGCTATATACAGAATAGCTGAGGAAAAATCCATGTTCATAAAATTTAACACCGAAGAAGCGATGTTCCATGCTGCGAAAATCTCCAGCTGAGCTGGGTTTCAATTTTTATTCTGGAGTACGTGGAACCCCCGGTAATCTGACCGGTTTTAATCTGAACACTTTTTAGTTTGAACCCCGCTAATTTGAATGTATCATTCATATTAACGGGGTTCATTTTTATTTGAACTTCTAGTAACCCTACGACCATTATAAAAGCGAGTTTCTGGTAGCCTTATTTGTCGTTTTGTTTTGATTCTGCGTTCCGTTTCGCTTCGTTCTATTTCGCGTTTCTCCATTCCATGTGGTAAATGACGTTTGAGCAATTTTCAGTTTGCACGGCGTGCAGATTAGTGGGGTTCAAATTAGTGTTCTAAAAACGGTCAGATTAGGAAATGAATTGTAGAATAAAATTAGTTCGTAAAGGCCCACCCACATTAGATCCGTTTGCGTTGCGTTGACGTAAATTTGACAGTTAGACAATAGATTTAGCTGTCACTTTGCCGCAATGCGTCCGATCCGGATCTAATGTGCGTGACCCTTAAGTGATACTCAATGCGGATGTATCGTTGTTTTCATCCGAAAACTCCTTTCTAGTTCAAGAAAACTGTAGGCTCTCACAATTGTTTTAAAATATGCTCACTACTTGACTAGCCTATTGGTCCCAAGTACATGTATAAGCGTACCCCATTCTAGTAGAAATTCTAGTACTACGCTATGTTTGTTTTTATTTGCTATGAAAGTTTGAGAGATAAAATGAGGGGTTTGAGGATTTTGCTATGTTTCAAGAGGTGCATCGATTATCTTAGGACCGAAGATATTACCAGAGCTGAGCCAAAAATTTGAACACGTTTCTTCGGGACCTTCGGGTCTTAGAATTACTTCTATGGTATAATGGTGGGTCACAAATATTCACTTTTTGACTCTTTCGATTTGTATTAAGGCCCTTAACAGCTATGCAAAATTTGAAGAAATTTGGTGAGCATAAAGGGGAACGGAATAAATATATCAATTCGACTACTGTCCAAAAACTTAACAAACTAACCAATTAATTTGAATAAATGTGAATCAAGTTCTATGCACATACCTACAGGCGTACACACTAAGATTATTTCACAGATTTCTGTAAAATTTTACCGAAATCTCAACAGCTGATCGTTCGGTAAACAGTTTTACAGTTTTTAACAGATATCAGTGAAAAAATCACAAATATTTATGAAAAAGTACAGGAAATCTGTGAAATTGTTTACCGAATGTTCAGCTGTTGAGATTTCGGTAAAATTTTACAGATTTCTGTAAAAATTCCTAAGTGTGTATATAAGATTAGCGAGCCAGAGACGGAGGAGCACTGATGAATTTTGAATTCTAAATAGTTACCAGTCTAAAATGTGATGCTCGGTGTAATGTTTCTAATGAATGCTCCCTTAATCATAATTATCGATGCACCCCTCGAAACATAGGAAAATCCACGAATCCCTCATTTTATCTGTCAACCTTTCATAGCGAATCAAAACAAGCATAGTGTAGTACATACTAGCATTTAGACTATAATGGGGTATGTACTTGGGACGGTTCTATCATAGAGGTAACTCTAAGACTAGAAGGTCCCGAAATAACGAGCTCAACTTTTTGACTCAGCTCTGGTACTCTCTTAGGTCCCAAGCTAATCGATTCACCCCTCGAAAATCCACTAACCCCTCATTTTATCTGTCAAACTTTCATAGCGAATCAAAACAAACATTGTGTAGTACTAGAATTTCGACTAGAATGGGGTACGTTAATCGTTTGCTTGGGACCAATAGGCTAGTCAAGTAGCGAGCCAATTTAAAATCGTTAGTTTCGTATTGAGTTGATGGGTCGATAGGTAGGGTCCAGGTGTGGGAGCTGCCTTTCTGGCACGTCGGTAGCATTGGTGCTCAGCACGGAAAACAAGATCGACGGAAAAAACAAACCAAAGGAAAAAAAAATAAACGATAAAGAAGGGTATATTCCCTTCTTTTAATATATAAAAGAGAACATAATTTATTCGTTAAATATATGATAAAGAAGGGAATATTTTCTTTCTTTGAAAATATAACACAAGGAAATAATTAATTCTTTGTATAAAAGAGAACATCATTAATTATTCGTTAAATATATGATAAAGAAGGGAATATTCCCTTCTTTTAATATATAAAAGAGAACATAATTGATTCGTTAAATATTTTCTGGGGAATCGTTTTCTGGGAATGTTATAGAATCACTTGGGACCGATAGGCTAGTCCAGTGTGAGCCAATTAATTATATGATGTGAGTAGTAGCTATACTGAAGATCCGAGAGATGTCGCCCCTTCAGTGGTAGGAAAATCTTTTTTGCAGTATGGAGAATATCAGAAAATCCACGATTTGTGACTAAACATGCTTTCACAGAAGGAAACAAATAAACGAGTGTTTACCTTATCACCATATTAATGTACTCGTGCAATTTTTGTGCATCTAAAACTGCCCATAAAGACGATAATGAATAAAAACTGAAAATTTTCATGCATTTCCAAACGGTTTCCTACCATTCCCATACATTCGAAAGTGACTGGCCCTCTGTATGTAGATGATATCAAAAACAACAAAATATGATTAATTTAAAATCGTTAGTTTCCACCAGTTGGAACTAATGAAAACATTTAGTCTGTTCTGAAGTCGCTTCATGAATCACTTCAACAGATTACTTGAGAAATTCTGATGTAAGCAGTCTCCCGAATTGTCCTTATTAACCCAATTAGTTTCGCGTTGTTTGAATATATACTAAATATAGTACATCTTCTCACTCGGGCACTCTGAAACTTCGATCTATCTGATGAGGATCCACCTGATTTATTTGCGTGAGTAAATGAAATTTACCTTTCATTGATAATAATAACTTAATGCTATGTTATTGCGTAGCGATTTACCTGTTTTTCACACGAACCATTGCAACTAAGCCTTAATTATATTACAACGAAAATTAATATCGAAGTAGTAAATAACTCGCGATCCGAATACGAATTCCTCCGCGAAAACATAAACAAACACACTTAACCTGAAATTCATTCACGCCTCACTTGAGGAGGGATTGCACAGTGATTGTACTAAAAAAAAGTCTTGTCGGGTAGCACCAGCTATTAATACCAAACCAAACGCATCCCGAAAGCATCAATACTCAGTGGAAGAATGGCATATCTTCATTTTGGTGTAATTGAATTAAAAGGCAATTTCTAAATGCGACATTCGAGATCTCCGAATTTTGAACGCTCATTTTTCGATTTATAGAAGCAATTATAAGAGCATTTTTGAATTAAAATTTCGAAACAACGGCAAAACTGTAAAACATCGGGGTAAAAACTCAAGCTATCGCAAAATGACACATAGGATATTATTCCATTGAGCGCACTTAAGAATTTTAAATTTTGAGGCTGGCGGGTATTCTTGAGTGCACATACGCCTGAATTCTATGGATGCACGTGGAAGCTTACACATGCCATGCTAGGCATCAGACATTATTATAAAATTTGTATTTTTTCATTTTTTGCACTAGTTAATAGTCTAGCCACCCTGTAGCAATAATCATTATCTATACACTCTTTTTGCCAAACAATAAACACCGCAATCTACACACTACCCTGCATGTAGTTGAATCTTTATAGCCGTAGTCTACTTTCAGAAAGTGCCCCATTAGGACGTTAGTGTACGGGAATATGTCTGAACTTAACCTGATCGGTGTCGACGTCGGTACGGGAAGTGTCCGAGCTGCCCTGGTTAGTAGTAGTGGAAAAGTGCTAAAGACGTGTGTAAAATCGACGCAAACCTGGAATCCACTGCCGAATCACTATGAACAATCTTCGGATAACATCTGGAACGCCGTTTGTGTGTGCGTTCGCGTAAGTGCTGATGACGTTAACTGAATAATCCCGATGACCTTTACCTAGATTGTGTTTGTTTCGTTGCTATACTTTCACTCTAAATTGCAGAATGTTGCATCAATCTGCCCAAAGGAGCACATCAAAGGCATTGGTTTCGACGCCACCTGTTCGTTGGTTGTGCTGGACAAGAATGGGAATCCATTGACGGTTAGCACTTCGGGGAGCGAAGAACAGAATATCATACTCTGGATGGATCATCGCGCTCAATCTGAGACGAATTTCATCAATTCTACGAAGCATGAACTACTGAACTATGTTGGCGGGACCGTTTCGTTGGAAATGGAATGTCCGAAGCTGTTGTGGCTCAAAAAGAACATGTTTCAACAGACGTGGATTAAAGCAGGAGCATTCTACGATTTGCCAGATTTCCTGACCTACAAGGCAACCGGGAACATATCGAGGTCAATCTGTTCCGCCGTATGTAAGTGGAACTACGATGCAGTAAAGGCTTCCTGGTCAGATGATTTTCTAAATGAGATTGGCCTTTCCGATCTTGCAGAAGACAACTTTCGTCTAATAGGGCAAAAACTCAACAGTCCAGGCCATCCAATTGCCGGTGGTCTGTCTCCGGAAGCGGCCACCGCTATGGGACTGCTTCCAAAAATCGCAGTGGCTACGTCGATGATTGATGCGCACGCAGGAGCTCTGGCGTTGCTAGGTGCTCGCAATCCGAATAGTAAAATTTCCGAATCTCTCACATCGAAAATGGCGATCATTTGCGGTACTTCAACGTGCCATATGAGCCTTACCGAGGCACCAATCATGGCACCGGGCATCTGGGGTCCGTACAAAAATGCCATCATTCCAAATCTGTACCTCAACGAGGCCGGACAAAGTGCTACGGGAATCCTGATGGATTTCGTTCTTCAGACACATCCCTCCTATGGTCAACTACTGGAGCAACATGGTTCCAATGGCAATATCTATGCCTTTTTGAATGAGTTTCTGGTGGACCTTAAACTACAGCGCGGATTGACGTCGGTGCATAAACTAACGACTTCACTGCACGTTTGGCCAGATTTTCACGGCAATCGATCACCGTTGGCGGATCCCACCTTGAAGGGAATGGTCAGTACTGTGTGCGTAATGTTTTCATGAACTTGACTATTTTTTTTCCGGTAATTTCTTGATTGCTCAGATTTCTGGACTTACAATGACGAAGGATGTGCAGAACTTGGCGCTCATATATCTTGCTTTGATGCAAGCACTAGCAGTAAGTAACTTATCATGCCAGCTTGTTGTACTCGTTCCATGATTCCATATTAAATAGTACAAATAGTAAACATGGATATCTCACAAATTGTTATAGTTTATGATAAATCGTGTTCGAGATTTAGAAATCTTTCTATTAAAAAAAATTGACGAGCTTAATACAAAACGATTTTCGAAGTACGCAGACGAACTTAACCCCTTACAAATATGGATCTGATTCCACAGTACGGTACCCGTCACATTCTGGATGTCCTGGCCCGATCCGGTCGTGAACCGATCCGCTCCATATTGCTCTGCGGTGGGCTTAGTAAAAATGGCCTATTCGTTCAAACGCATGCCGACATTTGCTCCATTCCCGTTCTACTGCCGCACGAAACGGAAGCCGTACTGCTGGGTTCGGCCATGATGGGAGCTTGTGCTGCTAGCGTGTACGCAGATTTAAAAGTTGGTTGCCCAATTATTGCTACACGGAATATACTAATTATTGTTTTATTGCAGACTGCAGCGATTGAGATGGGCGGCACAGCCGAAGTCGTCAAACCGGACATGAGTGATGGCAATCGAGATTATCACGAGCGAAAGTATCGTGTATTTCTGAAAATGGTGGACGACCAACAGTCCTATGAAAAAATTATGACCAACTGAGATTAGCGTCCGCATTTATAGGGATTTCTCACAAAGCAGTGGGCCACTTGATAGCATTTTTTGTTTAAGCGTAACAGAAAACCTTTTATATACATCACATTGAGAATAAAATTCGTACTTATGTTTTGTGCAGCAAAACCTACCTTGCCGAGAGTTCCTTTTTTATTATGAGATAAATGCAGCTGCTTTGGATTCGATCTTCGCCCTACACACGGGGCAATTCAGTTTGATTTTCTCGGCACAATTTTCACAGAGGCATACGTGGCCGCACGGCAAGCAGATGACCTCTTTGGGATTATCCACGCAAACTACACAGCGCTGTTCATCGTTGAATACCTGCTGCCGTGCCAATGCTCTTCGCTGAACTCGTGACTTATCCAATTTCTCTCTCAACCGGCGTTCTTCCCATTCCTCTTTTTTACGTTTGTAGATCTTTCTCGTGATGAGTCCTACCAACACTGCTGATATCGTACCGCAAATGATCACTTTGAATAGCATGGAAGACTTTGCTTCCTCAAATTTTTTAAGAAGAGTATTTCTCGTGGCAGTCGTTAGGAACATCGGTGCCACCGAAGACGGTTGCAGTCGTATTGTATTCCCATCCAATTCAATTTCCCCAACCGCCGTAATGAAACTTCCATCCCGAAGAACTTCCTCGGTCGTTTGCATCCCCTTCTGCCGAACTCCAGAGAAGAAACCAAAAAGGTGATCGAATAGCGATAAACTCGACGGTTCGTAATTATCGTACACCGTGTCCATATCTAAAATTTCAGCCGAAAGGCCATCCACAATTTCAACACCTAGTTTGCCATTAGTTAATCTAAACGGAACTTCGTTGCACGAGATGTGAATGAGTTTTCTCTGTTCCGCCCAAAAGCCAGCGAATCCGCGAGCCACCCTATGTTCACTGAAAGAAACATAAATTTGACCAAAATCTCAACCAAAAATCAATATGCCAACCATACTTCAACTTCATGATCTGCAAAACGCCGGTCACTGAGGGGGACATCACGCTCTTAAGCGGAGTACCAATGGGGGTGACCGTCCCCCTAATAACTCCATATTTTATCTTATTGTCGCCCTTTTTCAGCCTTTCCGAAAGTGATTCATCGATAGCTAGCTGCGGTGCCTCCTACAAGTTAAAAGAAACATTGAATGGCCAGTCAATCCAATCCCACCAAAGCCGACGAAGTTGATGACATAATCCATGAATCTCTTACCTTAAGCGCTGCACCGATTTTCTTAAACTGATAGTACTCTTTTAAGCAAAGGCCTAGTATAAGGACATCCACTCCTAGGAACACAGCCTCCTGAACGTAATCCATCCTGGTTTCATCCGGATTAGTTTCCTAACATTTACGAAAATTTATAATAAAAATTCTCGAGTACTTTTTCAAATGGACGTAAGTCGCAAAATGTAAACAAACCGGGTTTTTATTGTATATGATTTAAAAATCTGCAATATGCCCACTAGTTTGATAAAATTTGTGATAATCGATTATTTAAGTGTTTTGAATAATGTTTACAAAACGACTTAACATCCTTATTTACACTTTTTGGAATTATTGCCAATACGCTCTTTTGGTTTCAAATCGACGTTTCTGTCACATTGATTGACAGTGCAGATACGCACTTACAAAAACGTCATCAGTGATGTATAAAAAAATCTTTGCACCAAATCGACATACGCCATTTTTTTTTTCATCTGTGGAAAAAAAAACGCGAGTGACAACGTGGAAAAAACGTGTGGAAAAGTGTTGCTGATAAGTTCTTTTCTTATTCAGGAAGAAATGGAGAGAAAGGTGAAAATAGAAGGAGGAAAGTGTTCTGGTTTTCAACTGCTGCTGGGTAAGTGGAATTGTGATTGTGAAAACACGATTAGAGTGATAATGTTTTTTTGTAGATGCCGCCATACAACTCGAAGTGAAGAATACTTATCACGATCCAGGCCATGACCACCGATATGCTCTACCAATGGAGCCGTCGACTTCCAGCACCGGAGCTTGTTTGGGTATCATGGACACAAATACCAGCATAACCTCTTTTGCAGTATCGGAAACGCTTAGTGCTTTCTCGATCAATCCCGATAAGTCTGACAGTCTTTTGAGTGAAGTTGAGCCCGTTCGGGTAGGAAGTAGTTCCACCAAACGTCTTGCACTTTCCGATGATTCTAGTAAGTATTTTCTTTCGTATTCAATTAAGTTTGGTTTATAATGTCAAATTAATTGTCAATGTATTACTCTATTTACGATCAGATCCCACTAACCACCCCTCTTCCTTGCCCTGGATTCAACGAAATCAAGAAAGGGCTGGCATGCCATGGCCAGATGTCAGTAGAGCAGGACTACAAGTTCCCGATAATCCACCCAAGCCTTGGACCTCATCCTCGTTGAAGCTGCAGCTACCAGCTCCTGTTGATCGGTCCAAATCACGGATCTCACCCTATCCTCTGCACTCTACGAAGCAATTTAAGGGAAAGGCAAGTGGCTTCTCCGACCGTTCTGCACATTCCAGCATTTTCCAGCGGCTAGGTAATTCAGATCCCGTGCGTTATGATGTTTATGAACGTGGTTTCGATGTTTCCAACGTTTCTGGTAGGTATGGCTACTGGCAAAAAAAAATTTTAATGGGATTTAATTTGCATTTTATACACCTTCTAGGAAATCTTCCCGACGTCTCAAGAACTTCCCACCAGGATAGTGATGTATCTTCTCCGTCGTTCTATAAATCTATCTTGCGAGCTGCAACATCAACGCCGTTGCCGACACGTCAAAACACAAAACCGTCAGCACTATGCGTTGATGAGACACCTCTGGATTTGTCAGTTCCAGGGATTAGTGTTGAATCAGACATGCCTATTGATCTTGCGATATCCCAAAAACCCAACTCATTGAATTTATCTTATCGACCTATGGACTTGCGCGTCGCAAAACATTCGGATAACATCAACAATGCCTGTGATGTTGATGACATTTACGAGGTGGAAGAAGAAGAAGATGTCGAAGGAGACCCTACTCTACTGAACGAGTTTTCAATTTACGAATGTTTTGAAGAATACCGCAACATGCATACCGATGATGAGGAGTTTCCCGATTCAGACGATGAGTATGATTTTCAACCGAGACGCCGAAGCGGAAAACCAAAATCTAAAATTACCGTTGGACATGGTATGATTTTCATGGAATGAATATTATAATGTGTGATAATATTGTTATTTTTTTCTAAATTACAGATGAACTTGGGAAAAATAGGACAGGACTGGAAGAAAAAGAGAATGAAACAAATAATACAACCCACAATAATTTTGAAAAAGAGCTACATGAGGCGAAAGTGAAAAAAGTGTCGTTGAGGAAGGTAAACAAACTGCTTAGGCAGAAAGGGATGGCATACACTAGGCCTGATGGAACCGTAGTCCCCGCACGTTCTGTTAAGAAAGGATGCGATTGCAAAATGAAATGTGCCGAAAAATACCCTGACACTGTCCGAAAACAACTGCTTCAAAATATTTTGGATCTCAACTTGTCCGGACAAAACCAATTCATTGCTAACCATATGATTATTACTAAAACAGCTTGTCCACAGGTATCTAATAAGAGTATTTTATGGATTTTGATTCTGGCACTCTAGTGTAACCAGTTCCAACTTACTCAATATGAGTTATTAAGTGTACCACAGACAAACAGACGTAGCTATTTATCCGTAATCATCGTACACGCATTTAACGTTCATCACTTTGACGTTTTTATACATTTTATCAAACTTGTATGCAGCATTGATTGACACTTGGCAAGCAAACTTATTTCCGCGAATACCTCGCAAGATGTCGCTTATGAGTTCCACGACGATATGTTTTAAGGAATATTTATTTAAAGAGTTACGTCTGTTTGTCTGTAGCTGTACCTCTCTGATTCAAACAATATGATATGTCGTTAATTAAAACTAGCCAGTTACTACTCTTCTACCTTATTTCATCCTCATTTTTCACAACCAATTCACGTGTACCTTCTATTATCATTACATAATAAGTGTTGTTTTCCTCTTCCAGGTTGTCAACTCCAGGCGTACTTTTTCCAGGTCCTACAGGCTTCCAGGGGTGAATGGTATGGTGAAGGTTTGTAAGGTCATGTTCATAACATCGTTTGACATCACGGATCGGAAGCTGAGAAATCTGGGTGCGAAAAAAATGGCTGGACATGGCGTTGCAGAAGATGATCAGCGGGCATTCAATTCCACAAATAAAAAAGTCAGCCAAGATCACATCGAATACATACAAAAACATATTGATAGCTTTCCTGCTTACTCCAGCCACTACTCTCGTGAGGGTTCCGAAAAGCGGTATCTGTCGGGTGATCTCAACATTAAGGTTATGTATGAGTTGTACCAAGAAAAATGCAGCAGGGACAATTCGTGGATACCCGTACATTACGATAAGTATCGGATCATTTTCAAAGAGAAGAACTTGTCATTCAGAAAGCCCAAAGTGGATGTGTGTGGGGAGTGTGAAAAATACAGGATTGCTTTCAAAGGAGAACTGGAAAGCCCTACAAAGATCGCCTTGACAGCTGCTCACGAGATGCATCAACAAGCAGCGCAGCGCGTATACGAGGAAAAGCGCAGAGATAGGAAGCAGACCAAAGAGGATTCAAGATATCGAACCGTATCTTTTGACTTGCAGAAGCAATTACCAACACCGCACCTTCGCTGTGGACAGGCTTTCTATGCGAGACAATTGTATACGTACAATTTAACTTTCTTTTCATCCTATCTCGACAAAAATACAGCTACCTGCATGTTGTGGGATGAAAGAAAAGCCAAAAGAGGATCTCAGGAAGTGGCTTCCTGCCTTCTTAGAGATCTTAAAAAGATGCCTCTTACTATTCGCCACGTGACGTATTACAGCGACCGCTGCGTAGGTCAGAACCTCAATAAGACCGTAGTGTTTACGTTTGCCTACTATGTCGAGCTTGCTGCAAGAGATGGCAGAGAACTTATAATCGAACATAAGTTTATGCGCACTGGACATTCGTTTATGGAGGAAGACACTGTGCATTCTGCCATCGAAAAAGCGAAGAAAAAAACTACAATCGATATTGAAACACCGCACGACTGGGTAGTGCTCATCTCTGCCATAAGAAGATCTGTCCCATTTGACGTAGATGAGATGGAGCAACGCGATTTCTGTGCCTTAAAGGATTTGTCGGTCCGATATTGCATTCCTAAAAAGAATGAAACTGGGGAATCAATTAAGATTACCGACATCATGGTCTTCCGCTACTCTACCAATAGTCCTGGAACTGTTCTTTACAAGCACGATGTGGGGGATGCTGAATTCAAGCACATGAACATCATCTTCGGCGTAGAGCTTGAACAAATCAAACTTAACACTATAGAAGATGAACCCATCATGTTGCCAGACGCCAAATTGGCAGATCTCAAATCATTGCTACCATTCGTTAAAAACAAGGAATTTTATCAAACCTTTCTCAAGTCTCTTGTTCCATCGAAACGTGGTCGAAAACCCAAATCAAATCAAGTGGATGATTTCGAAGGTGACATGGATCCGCCAGAAAGAGATTAAGAAAAAATAAGTCATAATGAAAGCCATATGTCAAAGGAAAATGCTGAGAAAATAAAATAATGCTCATTAACTGTACCAACATAATTTTACTAAACACAACAATCTGTTGATTCCGAAACCTGAATGTATACTGTTTTATTGCTGATTGCATTTGAAACTAGACTACCCCAAAAATACAAAAAAAGCACGTTTCCGTCATATCGTTTTGGGTGTCTTCTAAACACTTATTGCTTGCATCAAAAGGTATAAGTGCATCGAAGAAATCAATAAGATTAGACGGAAATGCGCACTTTTGTTACATGTTTTAATTTTATTTGACAATTTTTTATTTGTTGCAATATTTCTTGTTCAGTTTGGAATGAAATGCACAATAATTGGTCGGCTAAAGATATGCGATTACGCTCTGTTCATCTAGATTTACTCTGTTCTTTATTTCATCTGTTTGTCTGTGATTGGAGTGTTTGCTGACAGATTTTATTGTGTCCAGCAGGAATTGGAAGTGCAGTCTGTGTTCCCTTGTATCTTTTTAGATAACAAACTATTGATTGCAGCATCGAATAAGATAATCCGACAGTCGTCGAAGTAACCGGATGTTGACCGAAATTTTTGCCGGCGAATTCGACCAGGATTGAACTGCACTTGAGTGGTTGATGATGATGATGGTCCCACTGCTTACCCCTACACAGGATTGAGCTGGACGATTTCTCTTTAAGATAATTATGTACAACTTTTTAACCAGATTAGCAAGCAAAAATGAACTGATTACAATTACAGGTATAAATTCCCTCAACACTT